CAATTCAGGTACAACGAATGAATTCTTTCGTGCATATAAATCACGACTAACACCTTCGGTGTGATCAATGTCTATTACTTTACGTATTTTTCTCCTCTTTTCTTGTACTTTTAATTTTTTCTTAGACTTTATTATAACATTATTATAATTATTTTTCATTACCATTATCAATCATTATTTTCCTTTCCTTTTTTTTTTTCTTCTTTCTCATTTATCGCTTCCTGAAATAGAAAGACTATAAAAATTTTTTTGTACATTACATTACTCTTTTTTCACAAGTCCCTTTCTTTTGCATTCGCTAAACTCTTGTGGCTTGTGTATTCCTCTCGGTCTAACTTATTTTTTTAATTTTCTTCTCATACATTTGTTTGATACCTCCTCGTTCTTATTGCATAGTTGTAACGCATATACCCGCACCATACACCTTTTAGTTTCTTACAAACTTGCCTAAATAGAGAATACCTTTACAAATCCTTTGTAAATACCAAAATACCCTAGATTTTTTTTTTTTGCATATGTTCCATTTTTATATCGTCAATTTGTTGTTAATCTTAGATTAAAGGACTTTATATATACACTCAATTTATCATATTTATCATTTTGTTTTCCTTTAAAAATTTTTTCCACTGGCTCCCAATTTTGTTCCAACCACCCCGACAGACTCGGTTCTGTCACCTTTGTCTCCACTATATATGGAGCCAAGTCGTTACTCGGTTCTAATAGTCGATCGTTCTTGTAATGAAAGAACCTATCATGCTTCTCAACTTTCAAATTCTGACGACTCTAGGACTTTAAATTTTTCTTTTTTAGCTGCTTGCGGTGACGGGTGCATTTGCGAGAGCAATAAACAAAATATTGATGATTTGGTTAAAATTTTTTTATCCATTTTCTCTGAAGGTATGTTTAACTTTTATTTCTATATATTTTACATATATATATTTTTTTTATATCATAATTCATTCGTGAATCATATTCTCGTCATATATCCCCCTCTTGTAATTGTTTAAGTATTTGGTAAATAATTCTTTAATAATTAATAATTTCTTAATTTCTTTAATAATTCATAATTCTTTAATAAATAATTTGTTAGTAATTTGTTAGTAATATTACTCTTCATTACATAGTATTACATAGTATTACATAGTATTACATGGTATTACATGTGTTCTTCTAAATCTTGATTTATTATTTATTTATTTATTTATCATTATTTATTCTTTTATATTTTTATTTTTATTTTTTGATTTTGTTAATCTTAATTCTTTTTTTTAAAAAAAGTTACAACGGTACCATCAGGTAGAAAAGCACTATCAGTACTAAGACGTAGAACCGTAGGATGCCCTCCTACGATATTAATAATAGACATTGATCACACCGAAGGTGTTAGTCGTGATTTATATGCACGAAAGAATTCATTCGTTGTACCTGAATTG